GATAGATAGATAGATAGATAGATGATAGATAGATAGATAGATAGATAGATAGATAGATAGATAGATAGATAGATGAGAGAGAGATGAGAGAGAGAGAGAGAGAGAGAGAGAGAGAGATGATATATGATAGAGAGAGATGATGGATGGATGGATGGATGGGAGGGAGGGAGGGAAAGATGATATATGATGCAGATAGAGATGATAGATAGATGATAGATAGCAGGGATGGGTTCTGGCCACCATTACTACTGGTTCAGTAGTAAAAAAAATTGCGTGCCAGCATGCTATAAGAAGCCCGGACTTCAACTCCCAGAATTGCTTAGCCATCACAGGGATCTCCACACCTCTTAAAGTCCACACATCATAAAGCTGCCAAGTTTGAATAAGTCTAGATGATCTCCGTGGTCCCTTTGAACCCTGAAATCCAATACTGGGTTAGCATTAACCTAGCTTAGAGGCCAGAGAGCCGCTTAGCGCGTGGTGTAGAAACCAGCTCAGCCGATGAATGTCACAATTTTAAGAGATTACGTAAATTCTTTTTTAAAAATGGGGTCACCGAATTAACGGCGATCCCAATGCCGATGGACGCCAACCTCCCATCCTCCTGAGGATGAGTCAGCTGAGAATGGAGGTCAGTTGCAACCCGACATGACGGCAGCAAGCCATGGTTTAAAACTAAATGGTGTCCAATCTTGAGTTTTATCCTCATCACTTGGCGGATCAGAGCTTCCTTTCTTTTAAAGGTAAAGATAAAAAGGTTCTCCCTGCACATGTGTGCTAGTCGTTCCCGACTCTAGGGGGCGTTGCTCATCTCCGTTTCAAAGCCGAAGAGCCAGAGCTGTCCGAAGACGTCTCCGTGGTCATGTGGCCGGCATGACTCAACTCCCCCGAAGACGCACAGAATGCTGTTCCCTTCCCACCAAAGGTGGTTCCTATTTTTCTACTTGCATTTTTTACCTGCTTTCGAACGGCTAGGATGGCAGAAGCCGGGACAAGTCATGGGGGGCTCGCTCCGTTACGCGGCGCTGGGGATTCGAACCGCCCAACTGATGACTTTTCTCATCGTTCCTTTTGCGGCTCAACAATTCGTTTGGAAGCACCGCCGTTGTGCGAACTCAGCCGTTGGGCCGTTGGGCGAGAAATTTGGATGAAGCAATCTTGTGACTCGGTTGTGTCTCTCTCTCTCTGTGTGTGTGTGTGTGTGTGTGATGCAACTCGGCCTGTGGTTGCAAGAACAAAGCGATTGTCTTTTGAAACTGCGGCCAGTCTTCAGAAGTTCCCCTTAGGGAGCCATCAAATTGCTAACTGCACGTGGGCACCAATTTCGTTGGGCAACCGGTGGAGGGAAGGACAGGTATGCTGATTTGAGCACCTGTGACCTCACCTGACCTGCCGCCCCTTCCTACGGGAGGAAAGACAAGATTCCTGTAAGCGTCTCACCTGTACAGGCTTTGCCCCGTTCACACAAACACAGGCTAAAAAGAGGCCCATTGAGACAGCAGAATTTCAGAAAGCTTTTGCCGCTCGCGTTTTAAGTCCAGGGGGTCCTGCATGACGACCGTTTCATTTAGTGACCATCCGAACGGCGCTGGCAAAAGGACCATTGTTGGCTTCGCTTGTCCGAAGGTCGCCCGGCTTCTAAGTTTTGATCGCGGCTGCAGCCGTCGTAAGTGTGAAAGATTGGCGGGAGTCACTTTTTTCGGCGCCAACTTCAAGCCGTCACTAAATGAGCTGTGATGAGTAGAGGGCTACTTTGTGCACAACTGTGGAGATGCACCACGGTTGTAAGTGTGAAAAGCGGTCCCTCTTTTTTGGCATCGTAACTTGGAACTGTCGCTAAGCGAGGACTCCCTGTAAACCCGACAGAAATCTCACCTAGATCCTATCACCGAGAGGCGTAAACCTTGGATTGCTCAAGCCAACCCCAGGAGTAAGCAGGGGAGGGCACGCCTTGACTCACCTCGTTGTTAATCTTTGGAACTCACGGGTACACGATGTGGCCATTACCTTCCATTTCCAAAGGGAACGAAAGATTCATCACTTTGAGGCTAGCTTTGCACAAATCACTTGCTCTGCGGTTTGGTGTCAACTCAGTCCTTATCTTGGCACGTGGTACAAACCACGTCATCCTTTTAAGAGGAGGAGGAGGCGTTATTCTGTAGTAGCCGATAACCCGGCGTTGCGCCCGGGTATTTATTTATAGGGGGGGGGGTGAAAATGTCCGGACCAAATGTAATTTCTAATGTTGGATTTTCTCTCTTACTGGAGAGAGCCCCCTTGTGGAGTACTGTGGAGCCGTTACCATGGCAACTCCACTGCGCTGTACAGTAGAAGCCATTTTTCAGCAGTACAGTAGAAGCCGTTTGAAGGCACAACAGGCTGTATCTTAACAGAACACACACCCCGAAGGGAGTTAGGGATGTCTTACCCCCACAGTATTTTTCTCCAGAGAATAAGTCATCTGTGTACCGAGTTTGGTTGAAGTTGCTCAAGGCGTTCCAGAGTTATGCTGGTGTACACACACACAAGGACACACACAGCCGTTTTTATATAGATAGATAAATAAGCGAGCTTCTCATTGTGTGTCAGGTGTTTTGTTGGGCCGATCCCTGCTTCCAAATCGGCTTTCACAAACACAATAATAGGTTTGGCCTTAATTAAGATATACGTGATGTTATCCTTTTGACTCCTACACCCAACCACCTTAGTAGACCATTGGCTAATCCTCGGGGTTTGCACGTGAGCGGTGCTTTGAGTGGCAGAAAGAGAAAGCACTCTGCACATCCTCAGAGGCACCCTTTCCCACCACCCGTCGGGCCCAAACGAATAAAATACACCCCCCCCCCCAAACCTGTGCAGTTACAATTGTGCAAACACAGGCTGTTGCGTTTGCAAAGCGAACCACTGTTAGTAAACCCCGAGTAAGTGCGTAATACAAACCCAGAGGCTGGTTTTGGCATAACCCCCTAAGGTAACTACGGGATCGGCTCGTCTGTGGCCCAGTAAGATATGGAAACCTAACCTGGTTCTATTAAACCAAGGTTTCCCCAAGGAAAAAAGGAGACGGATTCGGGAAAACCACGAATCATGGTTAGTCCGCAGGGTTGACCCCAGAGGAGATCTCCTCACATTGTCAGGCTCAAAATCTGGGCAGGGGAGCTGAATGGTTTCTTCCACCAATATGTTTCAGGTAGTCCTCGGCTTAGGACCAGTTTGAAGTTACGACGGACCCTTGAAAGGTACTTATGACCTGTTTTTGAAGTTCAGATGGCCACACACACACACCCAGCCACCAATCACGTGACTGCGTTTCTTGCAAGGTTTGGTCCAGTGGTGAAGACGTCACGCTGAAAACCAGGAGACGGTGAGTTCTAGTTCTGCCTTAGCCATGAAAGCCGGATCGGTGACGTTGGGCCAATCACCAGGAGACGGTGAGTTCTAGTCCCACCTTAGCTATGAAAGCCAGCTGGGTGTCTTTGGGGCAAATCACCAGGAGACAGTGAGTTCTAGTCCTACCTTAGCTATGAAATCCAGCTGGATGATTTTGGGCCAATCACCAGGAGACGGTGAGTTCTAGTCCCACCTTAGCTATGAAAGCCAGCTGGGTGTCTTTGGGGCAAATCACCAGGAGACAGTGAGTTCTAGTCCTACCTTAGCTATGAAATCCAGCTGGATGATTTTGGGCCAATCACCAGGAGACGGTGAGTTCTAGTCCCACCTTAGCTATAAAATCCAGCTGGGTGACTTTGGGTCAATCACCAGGAGACGGTGAGTTCTAGTCCCACCTTAGCTGTGAAATCCAGCTGGGTGACTTGGGCCAATCACCAGGAGACGGTGAGTTCTAGTCCCACTTTAGCTATGAAAGCCAGCTGGGTGACTTGGGCCAATCACCAGGAGACGGTGAGTTCTAGTCCCACCTTAGCTATAAAATCCAGCTGGGTGACTTTGGGGCAAATCACCAGGAGATGGTGAGTTCTAGTCCCACCTTAGCTGTGAAATCCAGCTGGGTGACTTTGGGCCAATCACCAGGAGACGGTGAGTTCTAGTCCCACCTTAGCTATGAAAGCCAGCTGGGTGACTTTGGGCCAATCACCAGGAGACGGTGAGTTCTAGTCCCACCTTAGCTATGAAAGCCAGCTGGGTGACTTTGGGCCAATCACCAGGAGATGGAGAGTTCTAGTCCCACCTTAGGTATGAAAGCCAGCTGGGTGACTTTGGGCCAATCACCAGGAGACGGTGAGTTCTAGTCCCACCTTAGGTGTGAAAGCCAGCTGGGTGACTTT